CTTGCGGGGGAGGGGAAATGAATCCTCGTCCCGCACTAATTAACAGGATGAATTAGTGCTCAGCCTAGTAAAATCAGCACTTGGCAGAAAAGGAGCACTGCCATCCAAGGCACCTAACACCTTAGTATCCAAGCCGCACACTTAAGTGCATCAGCTTCTAACAATCACAAGATGGAATCAGTAGGAACACAGCAACCGCTACTGAGTGTTGGCACCATGAAGGCTGCATGTGAGGAAATATTCTGGAAGGTTCCAAGCAGAGCGGTGTGTGTCAGAGCTGGGTCTGGCTAAATCTCCACCCGAAAGAGTCCAGTAGTGCAAGCAAAGGGCTGGATGCCTGGAACACCTGGATCTGTCAGACTCCTTCTGTGGTCTTGAACATGACATTAGACTCTTGGCTTCTGTGTCTCCATCAGTAAGAATGGGGATAATACTTCCCTTCCTCACTGATACTGTAATTAGATGTCTGATATCCTTCACTGCCAGCAGGCATACACCTTGGTGCCACTTTTCTTCTTCCCTCTTCCTCAGAGGGGGAGAATCCAGCTGAGAGAGAAGAGCCATCAATGGTTAAGAAAATCATCCTACCTGAGGAACAATCACAGCCCGCTAGCAGTTAGGGTTTGGGAAATGAGAAGTAGTAAGCACTATACCTTGTGCTTCCCTGTCTGCCTGCTGCATCCACCTGTTGTCTCATCTTAAACTTAAATAGAAACTCTGCTTGGCAGAGACCATCTCATAGTTATCTGTTTGTATAGTGCCAGGTACAATTGGGCGACTGGCCTAAACACACTATTGTAATCCATATAGTATTACTATTTGTACATGACATGAGACACAGGCTGGAGAGGAGATGAAAATGGCAGTCGTACACTGGTGAAGATTAGAGTTACCTAGAACGTGCAGAGAAAGAGGCCAGCCCTTCAGCAAGGGAGTATTAAAAGCAGGTCAGTATTACAGCAAACTACAATTTCTTTTGAACAGTGTTGTTTGTATGATCAATATCTCAAAATGCTTCACAGGATTAAACAGCAGTGAGAAAAATCAAGAGACTTTAGGCATAAGAGGGATAAAGAGATGTTTGCCGATGAGATCTCAAGAGGTGGGGAGATACAGGAAAACACTGCCAGGAAGCAGGTGGGATCCTAGTATCAGTCCCTTGCTTCAGTATGGTTCACCAACTATTCTCATTGTTACACTAAAGACTGTATGATGCCTACACAAAATCGATGTTCATGCTTCTGCTCTATCATGTAATTCCTATTTCGGGCCTTGTACTCTAAAAATCTGTCAAATTCATATTCTCACTGCACCAAAAGCTAACTTTGAACTGCGCAGACTACAATTGATGCGGAGACATCGGATATTTATTAGTATCAGTGTCAATGTGCACTAGTCTGTTGGAGCAGTTGTTTTGAGTGCACAGGGTGGGTTTGTGGAATTTGCAGAGCATGCAGCACGTGTGGCACTGTGTATGGATTGTGTGTGTCTGTTAAGTATTTATACAGCGGAGTGGGGTGAGGAGAGCTGGAGGGCTCATAATGAGACACAGAACCTTCACCTATAGATTGCTGGTACTGATCCAGATTAGTAGTGTCAGATCAGGGTTTGGTGTATACGAAATGAGTTGGTGGATCCTGACAGGGGCCGACATCACACAAGCAATTGTCACAGTTGTCAGCATTGTTCACAGTTACTAGAAAAGAGGCCAAGAACTCAGACTGGGGGGGGAGGGGAGGGGGAGGGGGGCAACGACACAGACATACCTTTTCTCCCATAGCATTATGGTAGAGGTACAGTAATGGAGCAAGGGGGAGATGGTTTTCGTGAATGGCCATTCTCTACTATTTATTGTAGTAGTGCCTAAACTGATACCCTTGATCCCAGTACTCTCTGACCCAGCACCAAATTCTCTTTATACCTTTTATTTAAACACAATTCTCAAAGCACATGCAATTTAAGCCTTTTTCTGCTCAATTACCACTTTATAAAGAGCCATTGTACTGGCATACTGTGTGTCATTAATAAAAACACCCTGTATTGGCTCCCATTGTGTTCCAAGTATGAGAGACCAATACAGGTTGAAATGTTAGATATTAAGGCCTAAAAATCAAGGTCTAGAATGGAAATACTAAAAATCAATTCCAATGACTGTGGCATCAAGTGTTGCATCCTAACGTCAATGGATGCAGCTCTCCAAAAGAGCATGCGTCTGCCCTTCATGCAGAGATCTTCATCTCACTGGGAGGTGTCTGAGCCTGAACATCTTGCATTTCACACACAGCTCCTTACTTCACTTGCAACTTTTAATATTCGCCCCTTGCATTATGCATCTGTGAACAGACTGTACTGTTTGGCAGTGGTGATTAGAATCTCAGACCTTTACAAGAGGAGGGGGAGAGAGAAAGAAGAGTAGAAATTATATTTCTGTGGCAGGTGAAGACAACATGTGTAACCTGTGGCTAAAGCACAAACTACCCCAGTCCTGACTCATCTCTACTCACTGCCCCATCACAGGGTATTCTTTGGGAGTGATGTTTTCCTCTCCTTCTCTAGAATATTGCACTTCAAGGCCACTTTTCATTTGTCACTGTAGCTGACAAGGACACTGCCAAACATCTGGTCTCAAAACACTTTTGGCTGGTGTCCCTTAACTGCTAGGGGGCTGTGACTATTCCTCAAGCAGGATTATTTTCTTAACCATTGATGGCTCTTCTGTCCAATTCTAAACTGGATTCTCCCCCTCTGATAAAGAGGGAAGAAGAAAAGTGTCACCAAGGTGTAGGACTACTGGCATTGAAGCATAGTTTACTGGGCAATACCACACCAGGCCCTGCTGACAAATGCCTCTTGTTACTCATACAACTTGTAAAGGACAAACCGATACAACTTCCCAAAGAAATCAGAAAGGTTCATTGTTGTTCCTCCAGCTCCATATGTACACTGAACTCTATGGAGAAATGACCACCTTGTCCCACTGTCTGCAACTCAGAGGATGGGCACAGGCACACCCCTGGGCCCATGTAGTGGCTTCAGTGGAGGTTTGTGCACTGGCAATTGCAGGATTGGGTCCTAAGTAGACACAAGGACAGATGGTGAGACCCTGCAGGAGAAATGATGGGTTGGGAAGGCAAGGACTACAGAAGGGAGATCATGCAGTTGCTGAGGTTAACAGTTACATGGTCTTATTCTTTACCTGCTCAATCAAGTTCAGGGGAAGATCCTAGTTTACAGACCTCCCAACAGAAGTGTGTTTTGATGAGAAGGTGTAAGATGGTGAACAGGGCCATAAAGGGGCTTCCATAGAGATAGGACCATATATAGGAGTGCGTGTTAAGTTTACATGAGATCACGTATCTTGTTATATTTTTTTCTTGCAATGTTAAGTGAAGATGACATCTCAAAGCTTCACTTACCCTTTTGCATTCAAACTGTAACTGAAAATTACACTGCATCCAAACTACAAATTACAATTAAGAAACGCAGATATTTATGCCACTTCCAGTATAGTTTGGAAGACGCATTTTTGTAGAACAGTATGTTGTATGAACAGATAGAAGTTTGCTGAAAAATATACTAGGGGACTGAGAGATCTCATTACTTGGCTGTGTGTACCTGCACAATCTTGTAAATCATTGCTTCAGACACTAAAGCAGAACGTTTTTAACAGGTAATGTCTTGGAATCACATTTTATATCCTGACAAAATGTCACTAATTTCAAGCCATCCGCTCAGAGAGGCAGG